ATTAACATTATCGTTATCACCCACAGTAGTACTGGTGCTTTTGAACCTTTGCATGGGAGGTTTTCTCTTTCGACGAGATGATCGTGTCCAAGCAAACAGCGAGGGAACTGCGTCTGGTCGTAGTAGAGTCTTTCTAGCCAAAGTCTTACGGAAATCACCAGGTCTAAAATGTCGAGAGCAGACTTTTGTTGTATCTGTAATTGTAAAATACTTTCCCTCATCTCTTTTTATTGCGTGTATCCACTTTTTTCGGATCTCAGAGTCTTTTGGTATGACAAAAAACGATATTTTTGCCCCGTCTTCGTTGCGGTAGCCTTTCTTGGTACATCCCGGAACACAGCAATGAGTTGGCATTTTTGTGGTCTAAAGGTTAATGCTTTTCAGATATGAAGCCAGTAATTAGYCACTTACTATTCTTTTTGTAAGAGATAATAGCACTTATTACGGTCCAAAGATCATGTTTTGTTTGGCGTTCTACTCGATCGAAGAGGCCTTCAAGGCCTTATTTTCATGCARATTCGTCACCRGACATCTAGTGCCGCGCCGCGTTTTGTAGACATATGCAAGTCGCGTATGGTACAGACTAAATCACGAAAAGAAGAGCTAAATTCATCTGGTAATGATATGTCATCTAAAAATCGAGAAGTGYAAGTTTTCTCATTARTTGCAGCTCAACASACCTGTTATTAGATACAAAACTGCCAAGGATACCGTTATATCTTTCAAAGCTGAAACACCAAAAACTATTAATAGGGCCGTAGTCCATAACAACATCCTTCAGGTGGCAGTGAAGATGCATGTTTGGCGTAACAGCCTCGTTTCCATACAATGATTGAAATTCTTTGCAAGATTTAAGCAACAGGCCATCAGCTTTAATAATGTCATCATCATGCAAAMCTAGGCTGATTAAAAACCTGTATGCTRGAGTAAATGTCTGCCAGCACCTTAAATGTTTGTCGTCTAATATTCCTTGCAGTGCGTAGTTTGAATACAGCAGTGTCCAGTTTTTCCATTGTTCGGCTGTATATGAGCCGCAGTTTGCAGAAATATTTTTTTGAAGTCTGCCAATATTCGGCGGGACGTTCATTGCTTCGATTCGTTCTTCAACATTTCTAAATTGAGGATTGGAGAGGTGTCCTTCACTAACCCATATCTTAAACATATTCTTTGCAGTCCMCAGGAAAAGGTTGTGCATAGGATCAATAGCACAAAATCGCACAACATCAAAGTATTCCAAATCCAATAGCGACGAATAGTAGCTCACTCCAAATTTTTTAGCAAGGTCTTTTGCTGCGGCTTTTGTTTTGCATTTATTTAGGATGTAATGAAAGTATAACAAAGACGTTTTTTTAGTCCAACTATACGTTATTTTATTTCATATTGCTTACATGCAGTTTTATGGGGACTTATCTAGAATGTCATCAACTTTTGACAGCAAGTTTTTAACGCTGTCCATAGTTTCAAGTGCTTTTTCGCACATTTGTTTGTGTGCCTTATAGGCGGAATCAGCATAATGGTCTTTACTTTTAGACTTTCTTTTATTTGAAGCCGAATCATCTTCCTTTTGGCTATCTTCGCTATCTTCGTCAGAAAGCACCACCAATTCATCGTACAGCTTTGCTTTTAAAGCATCTTGTCGACGCTGGCCTGGATTTTGTCGTTTGGCATATTTCATTCGATTTTCCACAAGAACGCTTCCTGGACTGTCTTGAATTGCTGTGGACTGAGTTGCAGTTAGTTGTATTTGTTTTGAGTTAACTTGAAGCTCTTGCTTTATGATTCTGCTCATTCG